CCCCCCTCCCCCCCCGCAGCAGCAGCAGCAGCAGCAGCAGCAGCAGCAGCAGCAGCTCCCTCCTCTCTCTGCGCCTCGTTAGAGTCCTACGTAATGGGCCCCTCCCCCCCCATAACCTGCGCCAGCCCCTACCGCTTTGGCCTCACGCGGCCTTTATCCCTCAGGGGCCCCCTGGCCGCAGATCTGCACCAAAGTGTGGAGTTGGTGCGGCTGCTGCGGGCCGCTGGGGCCTACGAGACAGCCGCGGGGGCCCTTTCGAAGCAAAGAGTCTTAGCAGCTCTTAATGGACTTGTTGCAGAATGGATCTTTGAAAGCGGATTAGCCCAAGGACTGGAGCCGGAGGAGGCGCGGGCGGCGGGCGGGAAGATCTTCACGTTTGGCTCTTACCGTTTGGGTGTATGTACACCCGGGAGCGACGTGGACGCTTTGTGTGTATGTCCACGCCACGTTTCCAGAGAGAACTTCTTCACAGTTTTCGCCTCAAAACTCTCCCAAGACCCCCGCGCGAGTCAAATTACTCCAATTCCCGAGGCCTACACTCCTGTCTTGAAGTTTACCTTCCTTTCGACCTCCATAGACCTTCTTTTCGCGCGACTTCCCCTCAAAACTGTCCCCCAGAACTGGGTGGGGCTGCATGCAGACTGGCTGCTGCTGCATGCAGACGAGCGCACAGCCAGGAGTCTCAACGGCAGCAGAGTCGCGGACCAAATTCTGCAGCTCGTGCCGAATATAAAGTCTTTTAAAACGGCGCTTCGATTTGTGAGGCTTTGGGCTGCTGCCAGGGGCGTTTATAGCAACGTTTGTGGCTATTTAGGAGGCATTAGTTGGGCCATTTTGACCGCCAGGTGCTGCCAACTCTTCCCCAACTTGCCCCCTTCTCAGCTCGTCCAGAAGTTCTTCAAACTCTTCACGCAGTGGACTTGGAACAAAAGCCCCGTTTGCCTCTGCAAAATCACAGAGTACACTCACCACGAAAAGGGGCTCGAGGGGCTCGCAGCTTTTAAAGTCTGGAACCCTAACCTCTACCCGCAGGTGCGGATCGATAAACCCTAAACCCTAAACCCTAAACCCTAAACCCTGACAAAAAGCAGCAGCTAGGGCGAGGTATTTGTAAAGTTAGAGGGGTTTGTAGATAGAGAGGCACCACGAAAAGGGCTCGAGGGTTTGGCGGCTTTCAGTGTCTGGAAATAAAATATCTACCCTCAACTGGGGACACCTTCTAAACCCTAAACCCTAAACCCTAAACCCTAAACAAAAAGCAGCAGCTAGCTCGAGGTATTTGTAAAGTTAGAGGGTTTTGTAGATAGTCCTCATGAAAAGGTCTCCAGGGTTTTTAAAGTCTGGAACCCTAATGCTTATTCACAGGAGAAGAAGTAACACACTAAACCCTAAACCCTAAACCCTAAACCCTAAACCCTAGGAGAGGTGAAAGCAGGGCTGGTTTGAGGTGTTTGTGGGGTTAGAGGGTTTTATAGTTAGTAAGGGTTTGGGGAGTTTGTTAAAGCTGGGGGTCTTAGTCCTTATCTGTAGGGGGGGTGCTGTAAACCCTAAACCCTAGAGGCTTTGAGCAGTAAACCCTAAACCCTAGATGCTTTGAGCTGTAAACCCTAAACCCTAGATGCTTTGAGCAGTAAACCCTAAACCCTAGATGCTTTGAGCAGTAAACCCTAAACCCTAGGGAGGTGGAAGCAGGGGTTAGTTTGAGGTATTTGTGAAGAGAGTGTTTGAAGGAAAGTCTGGTGAAGAGAGAACAGATATAAACCCTAAACCCTAAACCCTAAACCCTCTCACTAAACCCTAACGCTGGGGTTCTGGGATGGACGTGCTGCTTAAAGCTTCGAATTTGGTGCTGCACAAAGCTTAGGGTTTAGGGTTTAGGGTTTAGGGTTTAGGGTTTAGGGTTTAGGTGCGCAGGACCGGCACCACTTGCTGAAGATCATAACTCCTGCGTTTCCGGCAATGAACTCAACTCATAATGTTTCGCATTCGACGAAGAGAGTAATAGCTGAGGAGTTGGAAGCAGCAGCAAAGCAGTTTGCTGCTTGGGACGAAGCAGCAGCAGCAGCAGCAGCAGCACCTGCTGCTGCAGCAGCAACTGCAGCAGCA